GTCGGTCTGTGAGGCTTTAAAGTCAATGGGGAAGCCAGATTCGCTTAACAACCAGGTTATTAACTTGTCAGCTACAGGGATTCATTTAACAACGGCGGCAAGAAAGGTTGTAAAATAGGGAAAAACCTCACTTAACAACCTCTGTTTCGCTCAGCAATGGGAAATTAGGGGTTCAAGTTGTTGGTCATAAGTTGAGGACTCTCTGTGTTCTTCAAAACAAATTTCCTGGCATTGCTTAGAATAATAATCCCAGGGGTTTCCCAGACGGAGAAAATGACGGGTTTATACTGTAGTTCTGCCTCCATTTCTACCATTTTAGTCCCTCATCCAACCACTAAGTTGGCTTCAAGCAGCTGGTAAATAAGCAAACAAACAGATAGGATGATTTCTTGTGAATCAATTCTGCTGTCAACTCATAAAACATTCCTATGCCTGTTTTAGTAGTTGCCATTAAAAAGGGGAGGGGGGAGAGGAAGGAAAGCAGCTCAGCAGTTTGAAAGCGGAAATACATTGCAACTCTTATCTTTAAAAGATTGTAACTATAATGCCAGAGATTTAGCCTGTGAATATATTTAATTGGAGAATGTGAATGATGACACCCAGCCCGTGAACGTGGTCAATTGGAGAATCTGGTTTATGAGACACCCAGGGGGGAAACAGGGTTACAGGGGGCTGTAAATAAGTGGAAGGGCTACCCATTATCAGAGGCATCTTGGGTAAAGAGCAGGAATGTCCAGGATGATCACCTTATAACAAGATTCCATGCAGAAAATCCAACCAAGGTTAGGGGGGTGTTCGCAGCCCTAAATTCTATATCTGCACTCAATTATCACCTTCAAGAAGTGAGAGGAGCCGAATGTCAACTCATAAAACATTCCTATGCCTATTTTAGTAGTTGCCATAAAAAAGAGGGGGGGAGGTAATCTGGAAGAGCAGTGCAGCAGTTTGAAAGTGAAAGTACATTCCAACTCTTATCTTTAAAAGATTGTAACTAAAATACCAGAGTTTTTGCCCACAAATATATTGAATTGGAGAACGTGATTGATGACACCCATCCTGTGAAGGGACTCAATTGGAGAATCAGATTTATGACACACCCAGGGGGGAAGGAGGAAACAGGGTCACAGGTGACTATAAATTATGTAGGCCAGAGTTGGCTTCATACAGGGCTGTGCCAGTATGTCGCCTCTAATGAATCCTTTGAAGTTTTTTGAAGCTTGGCTCGAGAATCATGATTTAATTAGAACGATTGCTAGAATCCTGACACCTGCCTTAGATGCTGTAACATTTTGATTTTCAGTTATTGAAAATACAGTTGATCAGAAGGGGACAAACAGGTGAAGAGAGAGGAACAAAACCAAAAGAAAATGAAGAAATATTGCTGGATTATTATTATTATTATTTGTTCAACGTTGGCCTAGCTTACATTGGGCATAAAAACATATGGGGTGGGGGGAGTGGATGAGACGCCACTGCTTCATGCAACATTAAAAAAAGAAGAAGAATATTGAACAAATGAATACTCCCCATTGGGAAAGAAAGACAGATCGGACTGCACTCTGGGCTACAAGGAACCCGTTTTTACTCACAATAGATCACTATCAGTGTGTAGTTAAAATATAGTATGGGCCGTGTGTTCCAAGGCAGCAAGAGAAAAAAATAAATCACAACATTGTCAATTATCATCTGCTCAAGCAATCTTCATCATAAATATCAGTGTACACATTGAACTGTATCTCGTAGAGGCAATCCTTTTCAGGAGGAAGGATCCCATCTGGAAACAAAATAATTTAATACTAGGAGGAAAGGAATGAGTAAGTACAGCTTTCCCAGTTGAACTTTCATCTCCGATGGCCGTGTCCAAAATTTTAGAGCTGCAATTCAGTTACATAAACTTGGACTGATCAATGATGGATCTTGACGTACTCAATCCATGTGGATCAGCGCATAAATACAATGATGGTTTCATTAAAAACATTCTTTAAAGATTTTCATAGATTTTGTTTTTATTTTTAGATCATGCATACTTATTTGGGGGGCAGGTATCCCCTTAGAAGGATTGCCTTCCTGTCAGAAATACCCCTTCTAACATGGGACTTGTTGCTTTACTAAAAAAAAAATAATAGGACATTATTGAGCTGAGTTATGCTGAAATCAAACAATTTCCAGTGGATTAATTCCATAACCGAACTGACCAAATGTTAACTATAGTACATTTGGTTAATTGCAAGGTATACCCATAGCTCAATCTTTTTTTCCCTGTTAATTCCAATTTAAATTAGAATGAAGAAAATTAGAAATTAAAATAGGGCCAAATCCAGACACAGCACATAGCACAATCCTTGGATGGATTTTGCACAAGAAATTCATTTCCAACAACGTGGAGCAGGGAAAGAAGAGACCGAAGAGAGGGAGATACGATTGGTAAGGAAAACTCAGTTTTTCTAATTATCCCTGGTTTTGTGAAGCTTCAGAGCTCTGTGCTGAATTATTAATATTTGGCTTAACAGGTTTGGACAAATAGCTATGTAGGTCAGACTTACTCTGAGACCCTGACAATACTGAAGCTAATATTCAGAAACATCTGAAGGTACGTGAAACCTCAGATGCATTATTAAAGAACATGGCTTTCAACTAGTCCAAGGAGCTACATGTAATTAATGCCAAAATAATTACATAGATTTTTTTTTTTCCTACAAAGAAAATATTCTTTCGCATTTCATTCACCTGTTTACAAAACATTGCTTTCCTGCCTTCATTTTCTAGTTGGCCTTGTAGGGTTTCTGGTGATGCTTGTTCGCAAATCTGAGTGCGGGGGAAGGTGGGGGAAGGAGTATAACACAAAGGGTCATTCTTTTCTAAAATTAAGCCTTTGGTTTATGCAAGAAATAGGTTGGCTTAAACCAAGCATACTTCAAACAGTTTTCGTGACTGCGTGCCACTTCGTGGTACTCCTGAAAGTCTCTGAAATGAGCTCCATCAATCCCAATGAAAGGGAACCGATGGGTTATTTTCTGAACCTAGCCATACAGCCTCAAAGCGGAATGAGACAACTTGCTACAGTCAACTCGCCATGGCCAATTCACTGCAGGACAACACACCACCAAACAATTCAACACTGCAATTTAATTGTTTAATGTAATTAAAAATTTATTTTAATTTTTGTCATTCAGATTTCACTTGGTCTCTCCTTTGGCATCCTTTCTTTATTGATTATATTCCACCACTTCTTTGATATTAGTGGCTTGTTCAGTGGCCAGTTGGCCATGGAGAGTTGGCCATGGAGAGTTGGCCATGGAGAGTTATCCTAGACCCGCTCAAAGTACTGCTAGCTCTCTTTTCCATGATCTTGACCCAAGTAGCTTAATGGTAGCTTGTATGGTCTGTGGATTGGATCCTACCATCTTCGGTTAAGGGAGATTTCAGGACCCTGGCCTCACAATGAAAAAATAACTCACTCTAGTCTCCCACCACATGTTCCTCCAAAATGCACAGGAGAGATCCATGAGCATTTGAGCTGGAGACAATGAAACCTGCTCACCTTCTTTTGCACCTCCTCAAAGGGTGCCAGGATTTCCTCAAGAGATCCAAGTCTCTTCAAAATTTGCAAACTGCTAACAAAAGGATTAGCTATCCATGCTTAGAGTATGTCCAGATTTATATAGTTTGGGTGGTTAAGCAAGTTTCTTTTAATAACATGGGTGTTTAGTGGTGCCAAAGTTAGAGTCTTGATTAACTTAATATCCATAGAACTAACTAGAATTACAGATTGGGAATCTTGAGCATTTAACATATACGACAGTTTAAATTACAGATTACAGATAACAGCTCAATTATTGTTCTGTTCTCAGTCAATGGAATCAATGAGATTGGAAAATGTTTAATTAAGCAGACGAGGCTCCCGAAAACAGAATTGCTAACACTTTCGCTTTGTTTTGGTTTGTGCTGAAGCCACCTTGGATGTATAACGAACTTATTTAATATTTGGCTGGGTTACTTTGCCAAATCATGATAGCAGCCTTCCTGGTCAAAGTCACTTCTAGCAGTAAAGCTTTGTGGAACAGACCTAATTTGTGGGAGCAGAATTCCCATTTCTCTGGAATTCTGGTTCCAAACAACCAATTTGGAAATGTAGTAGAACTACATCGGCGTACTTCCAGCCTGTGGCTACAAATGAGATCTCCAATAGAGGGAATTGAAAAGAAGGGCACCGAGATGATCTACTTGTCCTCTCTTAATCCCTTTCCATTTATTTGACTACATCTGTCTTTCTCATCAGTTTTCATTCCACTATCGGTACGTGAGAAAACCGGTCCGAACCGGCTGAATACCACCTCTACTGATAATTGATAAAGAGGTAGGGATAAGGCTGACTTTAAAAACAAACTTGATGTAGCTTATTCCAACAATATTGGAAAATCGCTACTCCCAGTTAAAAGAACAAAAGAAACCCCAAACCTCAATGAAGTTCTAAGGATCGAATGGTGTAAGTGTTCCAAAGACAACACACATTAAAATGACTTTTTTGAAATGACATTTCCTAAAAAAATTAGATTTCGAAAACGAGGCAAGGATGGATAACAGCACTATACTTTCCTACATGTACAGATAGTCCTTGACCTATGGCCACCATTGAGCCCAAGCAAGGCCGTTTTTAAGTGAGCCGTGCCCCATTTTATGACTTCTCTCGCCAGAATTATTACGTCCATCACTGCAAGCTGTGAAGTGAGGCAGGCATTAAAATGAATCTGGCTTGCCCCATGGGGACATGGCAATGGTTGTAAGCGTGAAAAATCGGTCCCTTTTCTCAGTAGCTTTGGTCACTAAATGGATGGCTATAAGCCGAGGACTATATTTATTGCTAATGTGGTACAAATCAGCATTTTGTTCCCGCTTTCCATCCGTGTACAAATCCTAGAAACTGGGTTAGTGATATTTTTTTTTAAAACCCTAGGAGGAAAAAAGAAAAGGAAAGGTATGTTGTGGATAAAATTACTTACGTCGTTTGCAGCCACATTTTTTAATCCTTTTGGGATCTGTGATGTCATCGTGACATGCCTTGCAATAAAAGAAGGCCCTGGAGGGGAGGGAGAAGAGTGGTTAAAAATGACACTTCTCTTAATTCATACAAATGAAATTATCTCTACGTTTTTCTCTCCGCGAAAAGCGCCGGATGAATAAAACATGCCAGCCTTAATTTCCTTTAATCTTTGGAAAGGTTTAGACGTTTAAAGAAGGAAATGTTTGCTACGGGACAATTCGTTTCAAACCCCAGCTTGGGCGATTCGAGTTCATGCTTCTTTTAAGAAATTTAACTTGAACCTAATGGTGGCGCATGGTTCATAACTGTTGACACCCCGGATCAGATGGTTGGGCTTTCACCTTGGAAAGATGCATCCATTTTGACCTTTTTAAAAATCCAAACATACAAGAGGGAGAGGGAGTGAAACACATCCTCGGCAGAGAAACTGCGTTTTCAAAGGCCTCTATTTTTTAATTTTTTATGCTTTTTTAAAAAAATAAATAGGCCAGACAGATACAGAAGTCTATTTGTTCCACTTAGTTTCACAGGGCTTAACGTTCTGAAGGACTTCCAATGCAGATGTGGAAGAAATGCAGAACAATAGCATTTATTCATGGGTGGGCTTGAAATTTTTTTAGCAATGGGTGCTCTGCCCGGTTGCTGGCTATGGTGGGCGTGGCCTAGTTGGCCTCCTGCACCACTGTCAGGGTGTGTGTGTTTTTGCCTTCCCTGGGCTCCAGAGGCTTTCCTCGAGCCTCCGGGTGGGTGAAAACGGCCTCCCCAAGCTCCGGAGACTCTCTGGAACCTGGAAACGGGCCTGTTTCCAGCCTTCCCGAACTTCCGGGACGCCCATTTTTCACCCTCCCCAAGTCTCTATATGCGCCCTGCACTCACCTGCATCCAAAACAGGCCACACAGGGACTCCTGGGAGGGGTGGGGCAGGGTGGTGGATCCAGCCAGAAGTGGGATTTGGGGGTTCTCCAAACTGTGCAGAACCTAAGCTACAGGCTCTCCCGAAACCCCAGCAGCCCACCCCTGCATTTATTGCTGAAGTTGCATTGCCTCTGCAGCTGAATACAGGATAACAGAATTGGAAGGGACCTTGGAGGTTCTCTAGTCCAACCCCCTCCTCAAACAGGAGACCCTATCCCATTCCTTAAACATTTCCACTGATGTTGGCTTAGAACTGGACTGGGGAGAATTTCTGCTCAACGCAGCTAAGAGAATTGCATAGTGTTTTTTTTTTATTATTATTCTCTATTCCTCCCTTCCTTCACAAAATATTTTTTAAAATAGGCGGTGGGAAGTGAACAACTCGAGAACAACTTTTCAAAAGGATTAAAAAAAAAATAGGGACTCCTGCTATTGCCAATCAGAAATGTTTAATTGAGTCCATTTTGATTTATCAACTCGTTGTGTAATGGTGTTATACTGAACTTAAGCTGAACAACTTTCTTCTGGAGAGGTGTTGAAAATCTTCCTCCCTGCATCCACTGATAAAGTTTTAATTGGCTGTATATGGGGGAGGGGAAGGGAGGCAATCCAGACTGTATTGGCAATCTCACTGAAAAAGGGTATTATGACAAGAATTGGGATAGAAATCAAGAAAGGAATTGAAAATAATGTCCTTTACATTCTAAGACTAAATGAAAATCTATAAGAATTTGAAATAGGCAAGCATTTCTGATTGCTTAGAAACTATTTGATGTTTTTTTTTTTAAAAAAAATCAGAATTAAATGTATAAATATATGAGATGATGTGTTAATCTCACATACAACGATGCTAAAAATGATCAGCAATCAAATTATCAGTCTCCCAAGGAATATAAAGCACCCAGAAATCTTAAAAGGTTTACCAACTTGTATGCTAAAAAGGGGGAACGCTTTAGAAGTACAAAACATTATAAATGGAAAATGGATCTTTTTTCTCTCTCTCTTTCTTCTTTTAAGGAAGTTAACAATCAATACATTCAATTTATTGCAGCCCAACGCCAGTACGGATAACGAACAAATAAAATTTAAGACAGAGTTAAAGTACCTTTGTAAAATAACCTGATTGATTGATTGAATTCAACCTTTCCATCAAAAGTAGGTACTTTACAGTACACGATAGAAAAGGAATGGAATTCACAATGTTAATTTCGAGCAGCTCTGGTAGGCTTTCCCATCTGAATTACAGATAGTTACAATAGTTCATTTAATGACCATTGAAGTTACATTGAAAAAAGTGACTTATGACCATTTTTCATACTTATGACCACTGCAGCATCCTCGTGGTCATGTGATTTAAATTTGGATGCTTGACAACTTGATTTATACCTATGACGGTTGCAGTGTTCCAGAGTCATGTGAACATATTTTGCTATTTTCTGACAAGTCAATGAGGAGGAAGCCAGATTTACTTAACAACCATGTTACTAATTGAACAACTGCAGTGATTCACTTAACAACTGTGGCAGAGAAAGGTCGTAAAATGGGGCAAAGCTCATTTCACAAATTTCTCACTTAGCAACATAAATCCAATTGTGGTCGTAAGTGGAGGACTACCTGTGTTAAGGGCAATAAGCTTTGCTTGCTAAAACAATGGAGGCTGCCTGCTGAACCTCTACACTGTATAAGATGGAGGTGTGTACGAAGTCAAGGGAAGTTTTGGAGGCATTCAGAAGACTAGGTTGAAAACAGAACATGGGGTTGACTAGCCTTTGGTCAAATCTAGCCAGAATCAATTTGTAGATGACACTAAACTGGCAGGAATAGCCAACACACATGAAGACAAGCTCAAGATCCAAAAAGATCTTGACAGACTTGAACAATGGGCCCTATCCAACAAAATTAATTTCAATGTGGAGAAAAGCAAAGTTTTACATTTAGGAAGGAAAAATCAAAGGTGCAAGTGCACATTAGGCGAGACCTGGTTCAGAAACAGTAACTGGGAGAGGGACCTTGAAATCTTAGTGGATGATCACTTGAATATGAGCTAGCCGTGTGTGGCAACAGCCAAAAAAGCTAATATAATCCTGGGTTGTATAAGCAGAAGCATAGAATCAGGATCAGGTATTCCTACTGCTTTATAAAACCCTAGTAAGGCCACACCTGGAATACTGCAACCAACTTTGGTCACCAGACTACAAAAAAGATGTTGAGGCTTTGGAAAAAGTTCAGAGAAGAGCAACTAAGATGATCAAAGGCCTGGAGACTAAAACATATGAAGAACGGCTGCAGGTTTTGGGTTTGGCTAGTCTAAAGAAAAGAAGAATTCGGGGTGACATGATAGCAGCATTCCTGCACTTCTTGCCACAAAAAAGAGGGGGTCAAATTATTCTCCAAAGCACCCGAGGGCAGGACAAGAAACAATGGATGGAAACTCATCAAGGAGAGAAGCAACATGGAATTAAGGAGAAACTTCCTAACAGTGAGAACAATTAACCAGTGGAACAACCTGCCTCCAGGAATTGTGGGCATTTCATCACTGGATGTTTTTAAGAAGAGACTAGACAGCCACTTATCTGAAATGGTATAGGTTCTCCTGCTTGAACAGGGGGCTGGACTAGAAGACCTCCAAGGTCCCTTCCAGCTCATTCATTCTATTCATATGGACATCATGCACCATGAATGCCTTCATGTTTCTCCCACATTCCTTCCCACATATAAGAACCTAGAGTTGGTCTTTCATTACCAGCAAATGCTCCTAAAAGTTGAGTGAGCCCTACAGTTCTTGTCAAGTTCTTCACCACTCTTATCACATCACATCCTGCCCCAGCCGTGAGATCGGGAAAGCTTCCAGAATGCATCATGGACCGTGATGAGACAATTACAGAATGACCAAATAGTTTTTACCTTTTCACTTCTTTGGCATCGCTTGCAATGAAGAATCCTAGCGTACCCTCTTGAATTTTCACATGATTTCCAGGGTTGATCAATATACTGCCCGGTGAAATGGAACAAAACGACAAACAGGAATCAAAAAAAGAGAGAGAATGAGGTCGGGGCATGCTATTTTTGTGCTGTGAAATCAAATGCATTATTTTTTATTACTCCATTATAGGGGGCCCATTAGTTTGGTAAATCCAAAAGAAAGGGGAAAAAAGAAGGCCATTAGAAGCCATCTTATTTTATTTTTTAATGAAAGGTTTCAAAATATGAGCTCTATGGAAAAACTGAGGCAGAAAATGCATTCCACTCGTATCACCAAAAGTCTTTATCTTGAAACTTTGCTCGAGGCCCGAGCGACTTCAGTTAGGGGTAGAAAGGAGAGGGAAAACATACAAAAAGCTTTGATATATTTTTTTTGCTCTGCATTCAGAGTTAACAAAATCATTGTGATTGATGCAAAGAACAATGATTCCCATGGCAAGTATCTGCCTGGAAAAGTCTCACTCTTCTGACAGTTTAGCTCTTTGTGCCAATTTCTGTTGAAGTGGGGTATTATTAATGGGCCCCCTATTACTGTCTATCACATGAGTAATAGCATAGTACATACATATATATGCTCAGGGGGAATGGTACAAGACAACCATTTACGATTGCTAAAGAAAACATAAACCGAGTATGGTGGTTAATCATTTCTCCAGCCCAAAGCCCCTTTTTCAGACTGCTGTCAATGAATCAAAATAAGTTACTCATCCTTGCTAGAAAAATCAAATCAACTGCGGTTCAAGATTTAGACTAATCTCATTGGACTGACCTCTGGGTTTGTGGCGTACGTGCTTCAACAGGAACTATGACTTTGGCCAAATCAATGCACATTTTTAACAGAGCCTGGCTAAGGTCTTAGACCCTGGCTTTGGGAGGGAGAGTGGGTGAACATGGGCAGACATCCACGAAGTACTTAATTTGTACATCTGTAAATATGAAAGTTTGGGTAACCAGTTTCAGGTTTCACCCACTGAGTATTGAACGTTCTATCAATTCCAACATCCAGGGAAGGTGTAAAGTCTACTAGGATGCAAGTGAATACATCAACCACATATTAAGTGATTGAACATGCTCATCCTGCAAGAAATACCCACCCAATGGGATACATTTATATTTGACTGTGTTTTATTTTCCGTTGCATACAGATGTGTCATCCTCTTAGAACAAGGGCCCCCAACCTTGGCAACTTTAAGCCTTGTGGACTTCCACACTGAGAAGTCTGGCATGAGTAATTCAAGTAGTTGAAGTCCACAAGGCTTAAAATTGCCAAGCTTGGAGAACCCCTGTCTTAGAAAACTTTGGTAGTTGGGCAGATCAAAAATGCAATCAACAAATATGTAATGTGGGATACATTGTAGGAATATGCCTGATCTCTATTTAGTGAATGTCAAGATTTTCAAAGGATTTTTTTAAGCTAAAAAAAAACAAAAAACTAAATGATTCTATGTTCCATGTGCATCTTCCCACGACCTGATCCTGCCCCATTATCTTTTTAACATTTCTTATTTTAATGGATCACATCCTACAAAGGAAAGAGGGGAAGAAGGGAGGGAGAATTCTCACTGTTTTAAAAAGGCACGAGATTAATTTAGCTCAACAAAAAATTGTACAGGTGAATTCACAAAATTGGTTTCTTCCTGGAAAATCATAGGCATAGGCAATTTTCCACTATCTTTTAATGCTGTGGATGATTTACACCAGCGGTGTCCAAATTTGGCAACTTTAAGAGATGTTGGCTGGAAAATTCTGGGATTTGAAGTCCACCAGTCTTAAAGTCGTGAAGTTTGGAGACCTCTGGTTTATGCTACGGCAGTTATTAGTTGTTGGAATTCATTTGTGCTGCTGAAAAAGCCAATCTCTTGTCATTTCTACTTCTTAGGACTAAACACATGCTTCCTTTCCATCTTGCACCTCTCTGGGTTTCATTAAAGCAAAACGTCTATTTTTTTCCAGCATGAATTAGTGTAACGCCTAAAGCAGCAGTTTGCTTTTCAAGCAAGTGTTGATGCCTCAAGAAAGAAGGAATACTCCAAGGAGTAGCAGAGAGGCGGCTCACTTGTGTGAGGTCTGAAGGATTTCCTCCCAATCCTTTTCAAAGCATTTTTGATAATACCAATAAAGAAGAATATTTATAGCTCGGGGTTGAAATGAAAGGTCCTTGGCTCTCTCTGTGCTTGGTTTTCTTGCAGATGTTTCATTAACCCAACTAGGTAACACCATCAGTGCTGGTCAATGCTAGCCAGACTAGCACTGATGATGTTACCTGCTTTGGTTAATGAAACGTCTGCAAGAAAACAACCAAGCTCAGAGAGCGCCAAGGAGCTCTCATTTTGAAAACGTTCATTTTCAAAGCAGTTTTATAGAGCTTCTAAGGGAAATTCGATTCTCTCTCTGTGTGTGTGTGAGTCCACAATTTCATCGTTGTTAAGTTAAAAGAGAGTTAACATGCATGCAATGTTTGTAGGAAACAAATACTGCCATGATTAGAATCAATTGGGACTTAGTAGAAAACATGTTTTAAGGGAATGAGACAGTGAAAGCACATATATATGAACACAAACAGTGCGAGATACACATGGATACAGCTTTCTGGCATTATCTTTGAGAGCCAGTGAATCCTTCCTCCTGCTACCTACTCGTAAATGGTATTCTTCTGGAAATATTTGAAGGGCATGTAAGAGATTTTTGCAGGAAGAACCTGTGGTTAGACATAAAGCGGCTAGGTGGAAATGGTCTTCAGATTTACCATAAGGCCTAAAGTATCCAGTATCTTCACTGTTGAATTGGAGAAGAGAAAAATAACTGGCATTAATTGGACAGTATCCACTTCTCCTTCCTAGATTGATAATGAGATGATGTTTTCACTATCAGGTGAAACCATCTAACTCCTGGTTAAAACCTGGTTTACATCTTCCCTGATTATTAACAATCATTGTGGATAATGTAAAAGAGGTGGGTTTCTCTCTCTCTCTCTATTAAGCAGCTAAACTCGAGTTGCCATTGAATTTAACCTGAATTTTATTTTCAAAATCTGGAAGTTCTTTCTTTAGCATTTTTTTTTTAAAAGGCAGCAAAATGTTACGCTTTTTAATTTTTAATTTGTTTTAGAAGATAAACCAAAGATCAAAAAGAGGAAAAAAAAATGTGATTTAGAAGACAGGACGATTCTGAGCTTAATAATTATTAGCATATATTTGAGTAAAAGGACATTTATTATTATTATTATTATTATTATTATTATTATTATTATTATTATT